CGATTCCCACAGGCCCCCCCATCCCCACAGCCCCTCACCCTCACAGCCCCCCTTTTCCCCCGCAGTTCCCCTTTTGCCCACAGCCCCCATCCCCCACACAGCTCCCCCCATTCCCATTTAGCCCCTTCCCCACATCCCCCAGCCTCCCCCTCCAGCCCCACGGGACCTACCAAGAGGTTGAGGGCGTATTTCACCTTCTGGAAGAAATCCGTGTACTCATCCTTCGGGGGCAGCGCTGGAGGGGCACAGCTGGGGCTGGCACCGGGCTGTCCGCACCGGCACCCCGAGCAGCCCCCCGGGACACTGCCCTCCCTTCCCACCTGGCTTCTTCAGCTTCTTCTTCGTGCTGGCAGAGCTCAGCGCCGCCTTCAGCTGGCCCATGAAGCGCTCCAGGTCGCCCAGGACGTGGTTGAGGATCTCCTGTGGGTGCGGGGGGGCGGTGAGCGCTGGGTGGGGGCCGCGGTGACCCCACCCTGAGGGGTCGGGCCGGTCGGGACTTACAACATCTCGGTCCGCCTCGGACACGGCCGGGACGGGGGCTCGGCTCCGTGGCATCTGCGGGGGCTCCGGCGCGCCTGGTGACACCACAGGGTCCCCAGCATCACCCCTGCTCCCGGGGAAACTGAGGCACGCTGCGGTCCCTCCCTCCCCCGGCCCAGACTCACGGTAGTCCGAGGAGAACAGCCCACGCCGGGGGGGCAGGTGGGGATCGGGCTCGGGGGGCTCTGCCCAGCGCTCCGGGGCCGCGTACGGCGGGGGGCTCGGTGGTGTGTCCCGGCTGCTCCGGGGCCAGCGGGGTGGGGAGGGGAAGGAGAGGGTGAGCTGAGCCCGGGGGGGCTGCACGGGGTGGGGGCAGAGGGGTTCGTGTGTGGGTGTGGGGTAGGAGCGGGGCTGGTTCCGAGAATGGGATGTGGGGTCTGTGGGTGTGGGGGAGGAGGGAGGAGGGGGGGGGTCTCAGGCCAGTGATGGGAAATGGGGTGGGGAACAATCTGAGCCCGTGGGGACGAGGGGACACCGAGCTCGTGGTGTTCATGGGGGGGCAGGATGGGGAGGCTGAGCCGGGAGCTGGGGCACTGGGAGAAAGGGCCCCCCTCAGCCCCCAGGTGGGGGTGTGTGCCCACAGGCAGGGGGACTTTGGGGGGCTTTTTGTGGGACCACAAGGAGACCCCGCTGCCAGACTCACCACAACTCTGGGGAGCAAGACTCGGGGCCCAGCCGAGCTGTCTCCAGGGAGGGGCTGCAGAGCCACTTACCCCCCATACCTGTGCCCGTAGTGATTGCTCTGCTCCTCCTTCCTCTGCCTCAGCACCTTCTCCAGGCTGCTCCTCAGCGTCTCTGCCTGGCACGGACCCGCTGCCATCAGACCCCATCCCGGGGGGCTGCCCCCCGTTCTCCCCGCCCAGGGCTCACCCCCAGCCGCTCGCACTGGAAGAGCAGCACGCTGGTTCTCGGCGGGTTCCTCTCCTGGACGCTGACGGCCAGCACGGCGTTGTCCAGCCCGGCCGAGCATCCCTGCACGCTTCCCAGCGGGAAAGCCTCCAGCTCCTCCTGCACGGCAGAAAACGGGGTACCAGTCCCCGAACGGTTAGGAAAGGGTTAAAGGGGTGCAGGTGGGGTTGTGGGGTCGGGCTTGTGGGGTGTGAGGTTTAATGGGGGTGGCCATAGCCCGGGGGTGCCAGGATTCAGGGGATACCCTGGCCAGGGGGTACCAGGGTTTGGGGGCTCCCATAGCCCGGGGGTGCCAGGATTCAGGGGATACCCTGGCCAGGGGGTACCAGGGTTTGGGGGCTCCCATAGCCCGGGGGTGCCAGGATTCAGGGGATACCCTGGCCAGGGGGTACCGGAGTTTGGGGGTTCCCATAGCCAGGGGGTGCCAGCATTCAGGGGATACCCTGGCCGGGGGTTTGGGGTTGCCCTGGCCGGCGGGTACTGAGATTCAAGGAGGGCCTTGGCTGAGGAGTGCTGGGCCTTGGGGGTGCCCTGCTCGGGGGGCACCACAATTCAGGGGTTCCATGGCAGAGGGTGCCAGGCTTTGGGGGTGCCCTGGCCGGGCGTACCTTGCTCTCCACATCGCTCAGCACCAGCTCCTGGTCCTTGACTTCCAGGATGACATCCTGCCCCCAGACCCGCCCCTGCTCCTCCAGGTCCCGCAGGCGCCCCAGGCAATCCTCGGCGCTGCGGAGCTCCCGCTCCAGGGGCATCGTCAGCAGGTGCTGGGGGGGGACACGGCGTCACACGGCGTCACACGGTGTCACACGGTGTCACACGGTGTCACACGCGCCCCTGGCGAGGCTGGGGGGCGCGGGGCAGTTTGGGGGGGCTTCTACCTCAACGTGGTACTGGAAATCATTCTGGAGCTTGAGCAGGGTCTGCCCGTAGTCCTTGCGCTGGTCTGGGGGCACAGCAGGGTGAGGTGACAGGGACAGGCTGGGGGCGGTAGCGGGGGGCTAAAGGGCTTTTTGGGGTGCAGCCCTCACTCACTGTAGATGCTCTTCCCGGTGAGGCGGACGAAGCTGTTGGAATGTTGGAGCGGGGTCCTGTCGTCATATTCGCTCCTGGACGGACAGACGGACATTTACCCCCCCTGCCCCCTGTTCCGCCCGGCCCTCGGGGGTCCCCAGGGTGGGATCCGGCCCCCCCTGGCCGCTCACCGGGAGGGGCTGCTGCTCCAGCGGCCGAAGGGGTCTCCCATCCTGCCGGGGAGCAGCCAGAGCGTCTCGCTGCTGCTGTGGGATCCTGGGCACGGTCCTTGTGTCACCCCCGGTGTGTCCCCAACCCCCGACCCCGGGCGGTGCCGTCTCCCTGGTGGCCACCGGGACCGCCCTGAGCCTCCCTCCCAGTCCCCTCGCTCCATCCCAGCCCCTCGGGGGTCACCCGTCCCCGCATGTCCCGAGATGGGGTCTCTGCCCCGGGGTGTCCCCGCTCACCTGGATCCTGGCTCTGCCGCTCGGGCCGTGGCTGCGGAGGGTGGCAGGGGCAGGGGACACGGCTTGTCGTCGGCACCGCACCCAGCTGCTCTTTGCCCTCTCGTTAAAGGCGGGGAGGGACGCTGGGGACACCAGCACCTGGCACAGCCACCGCCTCCGCGATCATCCGCGGCAGGGCGTGCTGGCCCCGGGGCATCCAGCGGGGAACGCGGCCCCGGAGTCCCCAGCCCAAGGTCCCCGCCCCGGGCTGGGTGGCGGTGACGTCCCGCCTGGCAGGACCCAGCCCTGCCAGCCGCAGGACTCTGTGCCCTTGGCAGGTGTAATCCAGGCTCGCCCCAAAGCTGCCACTGCCAGGCAAATCCTCCCAGGGTGGTTCGTAGCCAGGAAGGGGCCGGATCCGCGGTGAGCGTCCAGGATTTGGGTGAAGGATGGATGCAGGGGTCATCATCCCCAGAGCTGTGGGGACAGCTGGGCTGGGGGGACACGGGGTGGCCGGGGTCGTGTCCGTGGGGTTGGAGTGACCCGCTGGGACACCTCTCCCGGCACAGGCTTGTGAGGTTTGGGTTCGTTTTAAGCCTTTTGGCTTCTCCAGTGCAATTTAAGGGGTGATGGATCAGCTAGGCCGTGTCCCCCGTGTCCCCGAGGGTCCCATCTGTGCTCCCCAGTCCCTCAGGCTGTCCCATCCCCACTCGCCTTCTCTCTCCTTTTTTCTTCCTCCGGACCAAACCGACCCCACCGCGGGGGGACCCCGGCGTCCTGCATCCCCCAGTGTCACCTGGAGCAGGCGACCCCCCTGGGGAGTGTTCGGGGAGTGCCGGCAGACACGCAGGGCACAGCCGGGGGGAGCAGGAACTGGGGAGCTGTGAGTTCCCCCAAGGGGCGGGGAAGGGGTGCCGGTCGTGCCTCAGTTTCCCCGGTCGGGGAGGGGCAGGGTGCAGTCCCCACTGCGGCCACGAGGGGGCAGCACGTTCCCGTGTCCCCCGCTGTGTCACCCCCCAGATGTGTCACCCCCAGATGTGTCACCCAGATGTGTTATCCCTCTCTTCAACTTCCTTATCACTCTCTTCAACTTCCTGAAAGGTGGCTGTGGTGAGCTGGGGTCTCTTTCTCCGGGCAACAACAGACAGAACATGAGGACACAGTCTCAAGCTGTGCCAAGGGAGATACAGGCTAGATTTATGGAGGAAGTTTTTTACAGAAAGAGTGGTCCAATACTGGAATCATCTGCCCAGGAAAGTGGTGGAGTCACCATCACTGGATGTGTTCAAAAAAAGACTGGATGTGGCACTTAGTTGACCTAGTTGAGGTGTTAGAACATGGGTTGGACTCGATGATCTTATAGGTCCCTTCCAACCCAGAAATTCTGTGATTCTGTGTCACCCCCAGATGTGTCCCCCAGATGTGTCCCCCCAGATGTATCACCCCCCAGATGTGTTCCCCGCTGTCACCCCCCCAGATGTACAGCCACCATCCCCGGCTGGGGAGCCTCAGGTTTGTGGCACTCCCCCAGATGTGCGATCGATCCCCCGAGGTGCGCAGCCCCCCACACGTGCGATGTGTCACACTGTGCGCCCCAGATGTGCGCCCCAGATGTGCAGGGTCCCGGGTCCTGCCAGCGCCTCTGACACCGCCGGCGTCCCTGGCGCTGGGGACGTTTGGGTGACACTTCTCGGGGCAGGGTGGCACAAGGGGCCGCCTGTGGTCCCCGTGGGAGATTTGGGGTTACATCCCCTCAAAAGCCAAGCCCCCTCCCCGATTTCCGGCTGCGAGCCCCCCGGCAGCGCCCAGGGCACGGCCGGAGCGCGGCCCCCCCGTCCCAGCCCCGGCAGGGACAGAGCGCTCGCCCCGCCCCGTCCCAGCTCCTCCCAGTCACCCCACTGGGTAAACTGGGAACGGCCCCGGCTGCAAATTCGCTCCAAACCCCCTTTTTCGTGTTTTTCTCCTCAATTCTCAGCCAGAGGCAGCAGTTCCCCGCACACCCCCAACCCGGCTGTGTCCCCCTCGCCCTTCCCAGGGTCGGGAAGTCAGGGAGGGGCTCGGAGCCTTCTGGAGACACAGAAATCTTTTCCCAATTCAGGTTTTGAAACCCCCGGCATCAAAATGTGCAAAATCTGCCCCCAAAGCGCTTTTGGGAGGGAAGCGGCCTCAACCTGCGGCCCCTGTTCTGCTCCTGGGGAGGGCACTCCACACCGAGCAGGGGACAGCTGTGGGGACATCACCCTGCTCCCGCCGGGGACACCCGGTCCTGCCCTACCCCAGAGACAGCTCGGGGCATTTTGGGGTTCGCCAGGCAGAGGGGGACCACAGAGGCAGCCGAGTCCGGAATTCCCGGTGACACATCGCTCCCGGCCAGGTGCCATGAGCCGCGGGGCCGGGAAGCAGCTGTGCCTCCGGGGGCTGGGTGCCAGCCAGGGACAAACCACCAGCCAGCCTGGATCCGTCCTCACGTCACCAGCCCGGGCTGCGGTGTACCCGGATCTGTCACCTAATTGCTGGGGACCAGCGTCTCCGTCATTTGGGGATGGCTGGGGACGTTTAACCCCTCAGGGGCTGGGAAACTCTCAGAGTCCCTGGGTCAGACCAATGGCGTGGCATGACACGGATGGCACGGCACAAAGCACAGCCCCGGAGGTGCACAAATCCACAAGCCCTGCCCTCCACGGGGACTCCTGGGTGGTGGCGGTGACAGGCCAATGTCCCAGCTGCCACAGCTGCCGGGCCCACACGCTGTTTAGGGGTGACAAAGGAAAAGACAGAGGACGCTTGGTGACATCTCGCTGTCATCCTGCCTCCATGCCTTGCTTGGTCTGCCCCTGGTCCAAGGTCACCGTGGCATGGTCACTGTGGCATTGTCACCCTGGCATGGTCACTGTGGCATGGTCACCTTGGCATGGTCACCCTGGCATGGTCACCGTGGCATTGTCACCGTGGCATGGTCACTGTGGCATTGTCACCCTGGCATGGTCATCCTGGTATGGTCACCTTGGCATTGTCACCGTGGCATTGTCACCGTGGCATGGTCACCGTGGCATGGTCACCCTGGCATTGTCACCTTGGCCTTGTCACCATGGCATTGTCACCGTGGCATGGTCACCCTGGCATGGTCACCGTGGCATTGTCACCTTGGCATTGTCACCGTGGCATTGTCACCTTGGCATGGTCACCCTGGCATTGTCACCATGGCCTTGTCACCATGGCATTGTCACCGTGGCATGGTCACTGTGGCATTGTCACCCTGGCATGGTCACTGTGGCATGGTCACCTTGGCATGGTCACCCTGGCATTGTCACCTTGGCATTGTCACCTTGGCATGGTCACCCTGGCATTGTCACCTTGGCATTGTCACCTTGGCATTGTCACCCTGGCACAGCCACCCTGGCACAATCCCCTGCTGGTCCCTGTCACCTGCTAGGTCCCCAACGCCCTGCTGGTCCCTTTGTGGTGGCTGTCACTGGGTGCTGCATGTCCTGTCCCGTTCCTGAAGGTCCCCTCTCAGTGCTGCCCCAAACCCCTCATTCCCTGGGAACACCCTTGGGGTCACCCCGGTGAATCCCTCGGGGTCTCAGCCTTGTCCTGTGGGCTCCTGGCCCACGTGGCTCTGCTTTATCCCGCTTTTCCAGTGTGCTGCTGGCCCCATCTCTTCAGAGCAACAGGACAAAGTCCCTGGGGCTTTTTTAACCCTTTGGCTTCCCCCACCCCCCCGTGACATCCTTGGAGGCTGATTTGTTTCCCCTCTCCCTTTTCCAAAGGGTGGTGAGTGGGTGACATCTGGGGGACTCTGGGAGTGACGTGCCCCTGTCTGGCTCAGCCAGGGGTGTCCACAGCTGGACACAGCTGGTGGCTCCTGGCTGGAGCCCCGTGACCTTCACACCATCGGTTTTTTGCTTTGAGGAGGTTGAAATAGAAATTTTTTGGATTTCAGTGAGGGAGTTGCACGTGCTGCAGAGCGTTGGGGACCCACCACTTGGGTGATCTTGGGCTGTGATGCCAGGCCAGGGACAGGCCAGGAGCCCCATGGCCACAGAAAGAGCTGGGTTTCCTCCACAGCCCAGGGCTCTGGCCACAAACCTGCAACAACCTTCTTATTTTTAGTGTGAAGAGGGAAAAACCAACGTGCCCATGGCCACTCCTGTGTGTGGGACCCATCCTGTTTTCTTCCCACCATCCATCATCCTGGCAGCCCAGCCTGGGGATTTCCAGGGGGAGTGGGGGCTGAGAGGACTGTGGCACCACACAGATTTAATTAGAGGTGATGATGGCATGCAAATGAGCAGGTTAAATCCTGCTTGGGGGTGGCCAAGCCCATGAGGATCCTCAGAGGGTTTGGAGGTGTTTCCCACATTTCCCATGCTCCGGGTGCCAGGGGAAGGCTGGATGTTGGGGTAAGCACAGTCTGGCTGGGAGAGGGGGAGAGGGAGGTCAGGGAGGTCACAGCTCCAGTTATTCCATGTTCCTCTCCAGCATGGGAAATGCTGGAGATCCCCTGATGTGCTGGGATCCAAGTGAGCCCAAGGAAAGCTGGAAATTGGCTCTTTCTCCTCCAGTTTTGGCATTTGGGATGAATTCCCTCATGGAAGAGCTGGTGTCTTTACCCCTTCCCTCCTCCTCATCGCTTCCACACATAGGGGCAGCCCTAATCCAAGAGATTCCTGACATGCTCTGCCAGAGCAGCCCCTCTCTAGTGCTGGGATCTGGCCCTTGGAATGCTCCTCCAACTCTAAATCCCCCAGAATTTAGGGATGAGCCCCAAATCCTCCATCCTGGG